GGGCATGATAGGAAACAACTACATAGATGCCAAGGTTGTGTTTTGTCCATGCGTGAGATGAACACACCGCAGCTACCGTCCCGGAAAAAATTTGAAATTTGGGCTCGGAAACGGCATTTCCAGCGTTCTGAGAACATATTTGGGTGTTATTTTTGGTTCTCAAAAACAATATTTCAGAGGTACATTTTAATAAGGCACAATGTTTAACAAGTATTAGTAATAATGCATGTGAAAACATGTGCAAATGCAATATTAGTCAAAACAAAAACTACAATTCCAAGAGTAAAATTTTAAAAGATCATTTATATATATTTAGGAATATTATATTGTAGTTAAAAGTCAATAATTGGAGTTTACATTTAAGTTTATAGTTATACTTATACGCATATATCTCAATATGTTTATGCGTCTTTAGATTTTACATCAGTTATAATAACTGCTTTATAAATAATTTAGCAGGGCTGAGTAATAGCCACGCCTACTAAGTACGTCAAACGTAAGCCGTATAATTGATAGCTTGATGCAATAGCGATTAAAAAATGCGCTCAAGTTACATCCTGAAGTAGTGTGTTGATTGCAATGTCCGACAGTGATAACATTTTGAAATACACAAGGAAACACGAGTTTTACAGTTTGATGTTTATTGATAGCTTTAATATACCAAAAGAAATTAGTTCAAACATTTTACAATCACCATTATTTCTCTACATTTTAGCTTCTCAGCTAACTTTCTGCTTATGCGTGAGATAATCAAACTGAAGCGTGTGAGCGTGAGAAATGATTCTGCGGCGTGTGTCACACGCTTAATACGTGAGACTTGGCATCTATGCTTGATTAGGGAGTTTGCGCATTGTAAGACGGCAACTTCACAACGGCAAAATACACATTTTCACGTCTCGTATAGTACGTCAGCATTTCAAGCCGTGACAGGTAGTTTGTCTGTTGACTCTGTTTTACTCGTTCGAAACTGTATTGAATTCATACGTAAGTCAATAAAGACAAGATTTCCATACAATCATTTATTTCAACTAACAGTGGGTATATATTATGTGGATATTAAATGGATTGGCCCCGTCGTCATGATGTCGCCGTCTTACATGCATAAACTCCATTTTGTTGCAGTACGACTATAAAGTGATACGCAATTAATTCACCTTGTGAAATACGGACATAACTTGGGAATGCCGAACATAATTCCTCCACATTTTCATAAACATCTTTCAAATTCGATGGACTCACTTCGATCTTTTTCTGACAGTCCAGCGCGATTGAAATAGCATCTTTACCGCTGCTATCTCGACCGTGTAGCTTCCTGATGGATTTCACCGAATGCAAACATAATACTTGATCTTCGTCTAGAGTGGATTCATCATTTTCGCCATAGAAACCAGAAGTAACTTTAACAACCTGTGGTAATTTGAATTTTTTTAAGAATTCAGAGACGGTGAAATTGGTTGTGCTCCATTTAAGTTTATTCAATTCCAATTTATTTATGTCTGGCGATGAATCGTCCATGACTGTTTAAAGTGTGGTGTCGGGTATCATTCGTGTTTCTATTTCGGAAGGCATACTTCGAAACTCTAGCCTGCGTCACAGACGCTCGTGGGCGGAAATGGGGGCGCTAAGTAGCGTCTGTGCATTAGTGCCAGGTTACGTGTTCTATAATATATGCAAATTATGCATCGGATGAGCCAGCGGAAAATTATTTAGATTGTGATTTCATAATTATGCAACATGTGCGCATGAAAGAATAGTATGTAGATGACATGTCGGACATTTGCATATTGTGTTTGAATGTTATTGTGAAAATTAATGAAAAGCATCGTGTCGAAGGTAAAGGAGCTTTCAAAGTAATTCCTGAACTGGAAAGTTTTTCTTTCAAAGTAGAAAGAGTGAGTCCTTTTATCTGCGCTGGATGTGTTAAAAAGCTGAAGAAACGAAGAAACCTCATCACACAAATTGAGTGTATCGACGAGTTTTATCGCACTATTCAAACTAAATCAACGTGTTCGTCAAGCTCTTCGCTAAAAAGAACAAGTGATATCAGTTTGGACAGTGTTGGTATTAAAATACATTGTGGAAATGAGGGTGAACGCTCGCCTAGTACAAGCACAGAAACGATAGAGCGGCCATCTTCCAGTTCTCGTTGCAGTTCACCTGTACGTCCAGATAATATACCTCCACAATGGCCTGTGTCCCCAATTAAGCATAGAGAAAACTCAGAAGAGGGCCCTAAATCTACGAATGTGTATGTGAAAGTTGAGTGGCCCAGTAAAAATGCTGAACGAAAGTTGCCAGGTGATCTAGAGTCGCTAGGAAAAATGCTTGTACGAGGAACATACAAACAGATAGCGAACGCAGCATGGAAGAACACAAGCATCAAGAAACAACTCCAACTGTTAATGTTAAATGACATAAACCGAGAATGTTCTGATCTTTGCTCAAGGAAAAATCCAAGCTGTCTAAGGAGCCCGAACAAGGAAAATATGTTGAAATTTTCAATCGAACATTTTAACAAGGAACTGAAGGAAAGAGCCCCATTGACATTTTCCGTGTTAGTTGCTGCTTCTGTGAACCCTCGAAGTAGATCCAGGGCAAACAAGAATGGCTTAAATATTGAAACATTTTGGTCACCTGCTGTTGGTATGGCTGCAGCAGTTTGCCTGAGAAACAGGTCAAGATTTATGAATGCGCTACAATTATTAATTACAATATTCAACTACCACTCTGGATGGCAGGTGTGTATATCTATTTTCATTTTTAATACTATACATATTATTTTAGAATATTTTGGTGTTATTACTAATATTAGTGTCATGTGTATTGATTCAAATAAAGTCTTTATTATTATTATTATAATTAATTATTATTATTATTTAGCACAGTTTGCCTGAGTGTGGGGGGGGGGGTCTTGGCCCTTGGGGTTTAAAATTCTGCGTCTTCAGCTTTCCCTAAGATTGGGAGTTACAACTGACAACTGATTTATTATAACAAAATATAATTGTGGATTAGTTGGTTAATGTTATCTGAATTATAATCTTGACTGTGACGTGCCAATGTAGGTAGTGAAGAATAGAGTATGCTTGCATGCAGCTTTGATGTGCGATGTAGCTACATGAAAAATAGAATAGTTGAATGATCCAATAAGTGTGCAAAATTGTATATATTATAAATTATTTAGGCAACCCTTGCACGACTGGCCTCATTACGAATAACAACATCACATACATATTTGTATAAAAAGCTGGACGAATATGGAGCTGGGTATCGTGATGAAATATTAAATGCTGTTGAGAATCAATGCCTGTTTCTGAAAAGGAATCCTGAAGTGGTGGAGTCTGATGACCAACAATCATGTGACCATGGGCGGAAAATCACAATTGACAATTTTGATTACCGGCAAAATGTGCACCATATGACAGAAGAGCATCAGAACATCGATGTTCATCATGTCACTGTGATGTCAACTGAGAACAGAATTGGAGCTGTAGACTTCAGTGACCAGAAGAAAGAAGATGGAATTATGAAGCTTGAGAATGGAAAATTCATACCAAGTGATGATGACCACCAATTGCAGAGAAAGAATTTCATTACTTTAGTTGGTCGAATACTTGTGGCTAATATACCATGTCTGAAATTCTTGGCTGATGTTGTCACATCTCATATACCACACAAATACAGTTCGCAAATGGCAAAGAAGACGAATACTGTAAGTAGATTTACTGGACAGAGTACATTTTTAGTTATAATAACCTTGAACAGTATGTGCCAGTGTTGGTAGCGATAACAACAACAATGCACTTCGGATTGTTAGGGTAAGTTATAGTATAGGTTACTTGTATTGTTACATGTTTAGTTCTCTGTAGAAGCTAAATGCACAAGATTAACCCTTGGTGACTAAGATTGTATTGATGTATTGCATTAGTTAGAGAAAGAGAAAAACAGTTACTGCATTTTTGCTGCATAATGGTTAGATTTTATGCACCATTTTGAGCTTGGGATTTCATTGTACAGTAGGTAGCAATATTTCATTGTAGGTAGCAATGAACAATATACTTGAGGGATAATAGGATCAAACAACATTAAAATTGTCACAAGAACTTTATGTTCCAATCAAAGGACCTGATGTCATCTAAAATTTTGTTCTTGTTACTAATTTCAAGGTAGCCTGATCCTATTACCCTTAAGTATTTAATATGAAACTTTAGCTTCAAATAAAATAAAATTTTATAGTCCCAAATATACCAATACAAAATAATACATTTTATAACATATTTGTTGGGAATGTTGTTCGATGTCCCCCCACGATCACAATAAATCATAAATCACAAACCAAAAATAATGTTTTAATACTCACAAATCTCAAAAAGGTCGCTCACAAAAGAAAACATGATACATATACTCTTCCTAGAACTAAATCGTACCATTTACTTCCGGTACAGTTACCCTAGCTACTTTTGACGACATACTGTACATAATTATAAAAAATTAACCCATTGAGTGGCAGCACTCAGACTCTCCCCCTGACAAGTAAATCGTCTGGCGTTAGACAGAGTAAAATAATAAAGTGGGACACATTGCCACTGAAAGGGTTAATTATTAGATAGAGCTTAGAAATTATTTTAAGTCTTCCATGTTTCCAAACATTGTGATGAAGCTTGGAAAAAGCTCATCAACTGAAGGCTGTTCAGAAAATTTTTTTGTATTTAAGAAGAAATATGGTTAACCCTAACCCTTAAAATGGTACACTGACCGAAATTTGGGGGGGGGGGTCGCCAAAAAAATTTTGAGATGCCCTTTTTTTTGGAAAGTTCCCCTCAAAGCCTGCCCCCCCCCCCAACTTTTCTAAGCTTCCTATGCCTCTGCTGTTCAGTCAGTCAATTATTAGAGATGGGACAAAGTACCTTCTGTAGCAATAGCAATCAAACTATTTGTTATTCTTATGTAATCACGTCTAATCATGTACATAATATTAAATATCGAATTTTTAGACATTCATGGGTCTAATTTATGAAAACGAAAATGACGCTGATGGCATCACCAATGTAATCAAAGAATTACACCAGTATGTTCCTCATGGTCAGAATGAAGATGGGACTGATGGCAAGTATGGAGAACAAGGGATTGTTGGGGATCAGCTCACTGTGGAGAGATTTGTAAATGGTCATGCGTCTATTGCAAATGGATTTACAGAGAAGGAACAGTGCACTGGCCTTCATGCTGAGGTTGCAGACTGGCATTCTGGAAATAGATTCTTACAGGTATAATATACTAAATCAATTTTTTTGTTAAATACTGGAGAAAATGTATGCAGTGCCTTCTAAATGTCTGCGAATGTTGTCAATTGACTGATGTTAGTGGACAATGTTTAGGGGGACTGAGTGCAGTTATCATAATAATCACACAGTCGAAAGATCAACAAGCT